CTTTCCAATTTATTTTGGTTCATCACCTTTCATTGCTAAGCGCATCCCGACTACTATTACTACTATTTGTTGTTTTAAGGTAGTGTTGACATGGTAGACTGATTCGAAAAATTTCGGGGACAGCAAATAGTATTTGTTACAAAAAGGATAATTTAGCTTTTTCTATATTTCTTGCAGATGGTGGAGTTATAGTTAGGTTTCACTGCGTGCCATATCATATGTGTGTAGGATGGACGTGCACAACGCTAATACGCAAAACTTGATTGCTGGCTGGACGTTTTTTCTGGTAGACAACAAAAGACTAATGTGCTAAATGCGCTAAATAGTTTTCATATGCTGCTGTATTCTGACTGACTAAGACGAAAAACAATAGACGAGAGACCGAGAGACTAAACGAAACGCTTCACCATGCATGTCGATGTGAACTGTTGGCTATAGTTTTTCCTTTTTTCCCCATGGGTGCGCGGAAGTGTCGTGGGTTTCAATGGGTTTCAATGTCACAAAAGTCATCCGTTCAAAAGGCAATAAAGGACAGATGTTTCATTGTTGACTGCAATGTTCTATGTTTACGGTTGCTCCGCTTTTCACCCCTTGGCCCTTTGCCATGGCGCGCAGAGAGCGGCGCGCCAAGCGGATGGCAGATTGGTATGGACTTGCCGTGGAAGGCCTATACCCGGGTTTGACGGCGAATCGAGTCCTTCCGGGCATGTCCAAAAAGTAGTTGTGAGCCATATGGGAGATGATCGAAAACCCAGCGTAAGGAGTTTAATATAAAACAGCCTTTTAGATGTTGTTAAAACCCTCCGCGAAAGCTTCGCGATGAGGTTCGCGAAAGTACATGTTTTTCGCGAAAAATTTTTCGAAGGTTCTGGTTTTAATATTGGTTCTCCTTTTATGGCCCACTGGATAAAAAGCTTCTACGTAGAACTTTACTTGGTTTCAGTTTGTTTTGGGATGTCAATGTGTAGTGTAGCGTATGTTTGTGGGATTCCTGTATTATGTGTCATAGATCACAGATGTGTATAGTTGTCAGAGGCATTTGTGCTTGAAGCAATCTAGCCACAGAGATGGCGCCAAATACAGCCAAAGTGCAATCACCTGGCTGAGCCAGTTTGAGCCAATGGGGAAATCATTAATGATTTTTTCGCGAAAGATCCGCGAAAGTTTCACGAATGTGCCGATAAAGTTCTGCCTACCAAACTTGACCCCACCCCCATACCCCAACGACCTGGAATAGGGATGTGGGGCTGCTGGTCTGTCAGCTTTGGACGACGGCTGTATCAAAGTGGTGCAGGATTTCTTCTTCCGCCCACCGTATCTCTATATATAAATATACATGACTCTCTGACTCACCCAAAACATGTTAAGTAACCAACCTCTCTTGAGGAACATGCTTCGCGATGAGGTCGCGAAAGATCCGCGAAAGATATCTGCTTTTTCGCGATGAATGGCCATTCCAGGATGAAAGAATATTGATCAAACATCATATGTTGTAGACAAGAAGGTACAGCGGAACATTATATGGCATATTCATACCCAAAGATGCGCCACCGGCATGACAGGTGAGCGCGGCGCTGCGGCAAAGAAGCAGTGTGTTGCGCGAGCCGAAGAGGCCCGGCTCTCATGCTGAGCGTTCAGCTGCGCGCAAGGGTACGGATTGAAATAGGACAGAACAAACTACACAGTGCACATTCTGAGAACAGTTAGCACAGCAACGACGCCACGACATGTGTCATGAGGGAACTTTACGAAATCTTCATGGCTGCAGGTCGCTGAGAAGCTTCCTCCAGGCGGATTACGCCGAAGCGCTCCGCGCCGTTTTTTTCGAATCATGTTTGATTGTCGTGACGCGAGACACTTCGGCTATTAGTGAATGAGTGACACAAACGCATTAGCCGTTGACAAGTTGACACATTGACAAGTGATCTACCAATCACAGATCATCGCCAGGTCGGTTTGCCTATAGGCTGCATTAGGTTTTCCTTGATCCGATTGAATGCGGAAAGCTTGGCGCAGGAGCTGCGAAAGGTCTGCAAAATGCAGCACCTTCAGGTGAGGAGTGGGGAGACGGTCGATGACAGGGCCACTACCCATATCAAGAGGTGTTTTCCTCACATAAACACTAAAATCAATTTACTGCTTAGTTCCTTACTTTTCACATACCATGGCATGGCTTCTTCAGTTGTCTCCTGGAAACGAATGGGAAAGTTTCTCGGATCGACTGTCTTTTCGTGGCTCAGGCCCGGAAGGCATTGATCCAATAACCATGGAGCGGCTTCTGTGGGGATCTGAAGTGAAACATAGAGACTGACAGTGAAGCACTTCAAGAAACATACCCTGTGAACTTTAATCCAATTTGATTCTCAGAGATTAGATTTTGGTCGAGGGCAGTCGGTGAGTTGTAATACAGCGTCCATCCAGATGGTCCCCCCTTAATTTCTATGATAGACTTCCATGCAGATGGTCGCCCCTTGAACCAAAAGCAATGTTTCGGTGGATTGTGAACGTCCGCTTTCGATCTTCCCGGTCGGATGGATATGTGGTCGTCACTGAGGAGCCAGGTGCAAAAAGGTGGTCCTTCGGTACAAAACGAAGCGCTCGTCGCAGTGACAGGCCACTGGAACGGCGTAGAGTTATGAAGACACAGATGTAATGATATTTGAGATGTATAGAAGGTATCAGACTTTTCTTTTTTCACATGTTCTCCAGAGAGCTGGTTGAAAGGTTTTGATCAGAATCCTTTTGATGAAGGACTTCTTTTGACAGACTTGGAAGTGCATTGTTTGTTTTGTGTTTTTAACCATCGGATGTTTGCGATGTCCCAGGCCTTCCGCCACAGCATGCGGCAAAGCTCTTGGAGTTTGCCCTTGAGAAGTCCAAGGACACCCGCTTCGTCGAATCGGGGATCTGGCGAGGTGGAGGTGAAGAGTCGAAGCAGAACAGTAAGCTTAGATAAAGGATCTTAGCCAAGTATCATTGTCCTGCGAAGGTCTGCGGAGTGTGAAGAAGAGTAAACACAACAAAAGCAAACAAACTCTTCAAAAGCCATGCAAACTGTCAAAGCATCAACAATATACGTGCTATTCATGCTTATTCTTTTTTGTAAGTCATGGTATGTGGTTGCCCCATCCAGGAGCTACGGGACCCGTTGATGTATATGGTGTCCACGGTGGCAAGGCCAGTGCGTCGTTGGGGAGACAATGCTTTCGTGACCCGTCGGATTGTATTCCGGGTGCAGAAAGGTGAGTCGGGCGACGAAATCCATACTCCGGTGGTGTAGGACGCCGCTCCAAAGAGAAACTAGAACTATGGTGCCGAGCGAACATAGAAACATATGATTTGTTGAGCTTACGAAAGCTGATGCTTCAACAAAAACGTACATAGGTTTGTGCTCTGGCTTGTGTTTTGCGCTTGTTAGTTTCACAATCCATGTGGAGCAGAGTCTGATTCTAGCCACCAAAAAGAACATGTATTGCTTTGCAAGAGTGGCTCTTTCTTTACAGTTTACCTGCGTAGACCATTTACATCCGCACCACCTGGCAGGGGCTTCAAGCCCAGATGGCACGCCAGGGTCTCAGATTTGGCAGAATTGCGGGCAAGTTACGGAGTTGCAGGAACTTTTGTTTAACGCTCAAATCAACATATTTCTGGCGGCCCGACATGGACAAACAATTCAATGCGCCCTGGGCGTTTCAGAGTTGCACGCTGAGGAAATGGTGGAGGCCTCTGTCCCTTCCAAAGGATGGTTCGACGCGTTGCAAAGACGCAAGGATGATTGGCATGCGAAAATGACGGAGACATTCTTTTAACTCTTTCAACCGTATGATCACGTGGCTTTTGGGAGCCTCATTTGTTTTGGCACGAAGCCACTCATGAATTGAATTCACCAAACACTATGTTCATATCTGCGCGGGAATCAATCCGGTTGATGGTTATCGAAAAGATTTTTCAATCGGTACCTTTGTGAGGAAAAGGCGTACAACTTGAGCTGGCGCAAGATCGAAAGCCGCAGCCTGGCTTGAACGCAAAAGCGGCCGTACTCTTTTGAAAAGCGTAACAAGCTTTTGAACGTCATGCCAACCGTTCTAGGCTTCGGGAACCATCAGCCATCAGCGCTTGTATCCAAGGCACAAAGCCAGGAGTGTTCTACTGGGAGAATTTTCACACAGGCCAGAGATCAGTGGACGACGCTTTGGCTGATTCATTAGTTGCAACGCATGCTTCCCAATATACATGTGCAATAATTGAACAATGAAAAACAATGAGAAACCGATCTAAGGACCCGCGACGTCCGGTTTCTCCTTCCCCTGTGCGTGGTGGCATGGGCAAATGAGACCTGTGCGCGCTAGTGAGAAATGTGCCGGTGCTTTTCATCCGCAACGAAATGTTACCAAAAGGTCCCTGCCACATATATATATATATATATTATATATCTATTATATATATAGATATATTTAGCATTAGGATTCAATAAACCTGTTTGTTCATCATTTTAAGAGAGGTGGGTGGGGTTCAAAGGTTCAAAGTCCAAAGAGAGACAAACTGTTGTGATACAAGTTTGGCTATGGGTGCTGCCTGAGCCTGATCCATTTTACTCATGTAAAAATTGGAATCTGTAAACCTCTAGAATCCTTTATAGACATATATAAACGATTATAAACTACTGTTCTTTTCGTTTTCAGAAAAGTCAAATTTTTGAATCTGGACTTAGAACGTGTGATTCTTGGTGGACGAGGATCTGACTGGTCCATCGCACTCAGTCGGCAGGTGCCTTTGAGGTTCAGGAAAAGCTTACTTATCTACGACACCTTTTTGCATTTAGAATATGGGTTGAGGAATATTCGTCAGACCACAACAATCCGAATGCAACAAGACCTACTTTGGATGAAACATGCACCCAATTCCATTCTTGCACTTGCTCCTGGCTAAACAGGGCCAAAGGTGCAGGGATCGTATTATGTCCTATAGAAAGTGCTTGCCTGAAGGGCAGCGCCTTTTGGCTATGCAAAACAAGGTTCAAATCTTGCACTTCTGAATCTAGCACCTTCTTCATTTTGAACATGATGTCGGGCCCACGTACCCATCAAGCGACGATCAAGAATCCACTTATAGGGCGAGATGGCACAAGAATGCCAAACACACCACCTGAAACGCATTGAAACGCGGTGGAGTGGTAGACCACTTGGTAAATCCTTGTGCCCTACCACGCAGCTTGCCTGATGGTAAGTGATGACGACGTTGTTGAAACACGTGAGAATACTGAGGTCATCGTGTTGAACCTGGAGCTCCATGAGACTTGGGAAACCTCCACGCTGTCCCGTAGCATGTAGGATGTGGATCGATTGGCACAGGGATCAGGGAACTGCAGATTTTGTGCCCTGTTCTTGAAGTTTCCACACTTGACTAGCAAAGTGCAAGCTCTTTCTGGAACCTTCTGGAACCACGTGTGCTATCGAAGCCTCGGTCACCGAAGCCTGGCTTAACGACTTCGTTGGAAGATTGGCTCCGTTTCAGCTCAGTTCGGTTCGAGACAGCTCAGCTCCAAACGATGCCAGCCACGAAGGTATGACCAATCCGCAGTCGCGGCCATAACACGCACCAATGCACAAACAATCACGTCCAACCAATCCAAAACGGCCCCCTCGAGATGCGGGTGGTCAAGATTGGCCAAGCGTCCACTTGGTCGCTCCAATCGGCAAAGAAATAGCCTTCTTCACCCTCAACGACATCAAGCCCTGCTCCACCGATCTTGCCTGGGATTGACTAAGGGCCTTTACCTTACCTTCCAGGTCAGAAGCAAAAGTTGACTGTTTGAGTGTCTATGTGCTTTTTTCTGAGAGAATTGCAAATACAGCAAAGCAAAATGAGAAGGGCATGTCTATTGACCCTTCGATGGAACTGACTCAAAAAACCCATGCTGCTCAGTGGCCCTGGTGCAAGCCCTGAATCAAAGCTTTGTTGTCAACAAGCCCACCGCGGGAAGTGTTCACCTCAGCAAACAGGGCTCAAAATAGACTCAAAGGAAATGAAGCAATGAAAAGGTCCTTTTCAGAGCTTCGTAAAAATGCCAGTTTTGCCGGTTTGTGTTGTCTTCATGGGAAGTTCTGGTAGATAAAGGCTGAAAGGTGAAGCATAAATATTACGCTTTGTTGACACAAGTTGTCAACGAATTCCCAGTGCTGCCTCTTCACTCGATATCTTGCATGCTCACCATACTCTGGTACTTTCTCTTGCTGAGACTGCGTTCGGGAGCAAATCATGAATCTAGTTTTTTTGGCAAGTCACCAGAATTACACCGTTCTTCATCTTCTCAATAGCAGCTGCATCAATCATCCTGAAGCTTGCAGCGTCATTGCCCGTTGACCATGGTAAACCCACATTAACATATGCAATCTCCAAAACACATTATTTGGCTATCTGGCGTTGAATCTCTAACGGCTAACGACTTCATTGCAGCTCACAGCTAAGTGGCTTGTGTAAAAATGCCGAGTAGCCTCGACCAGTCGATGAATCGATGAACCTCTTTGAAACACTAAGTGCAGCCCGAGAACTTGGCGGTGTTCTGGTTGAGAGGAACGAACAAACAAATGATGTCGCACTCGCTGAAGATCTGATCTTCCGACCTCAGAACATCAAAGCTGATTCAAAAGGAAGAACAATAGAACACTGACCTATTGTTGACAATCTTCCTTTTTGTTTTCTTTGTTTCTAGTAGAATGGTCTCCAACCTGATAGTGATGGTCTGCAACCTAGAAGCAATGGCCTCCAACTTGATCCTCCCATCACGGAGTCGTAATGTTATCTACCTCCTGCATTGAGCAAATATGTTCAGGCCAAGTGGCACATATGGCAAGCCAAGCCCGCTGGGAGGCATGTCCTGCGAGAAATGAAGACAAAGTTAGTAACAAGAAGCTACTAGGGGCTCCTGGCATCGCTACTAGGAGCAAGGACGCTACTAGGGGCTCCTGGCCGTACTACTAGTAACAAGAAGCTATAAGAAGCTACTAGTAACTTGATCGTACCATCTGCGAGCCCAAACTGTGACAAGCCAACTAGCCTCGCTTGACTTCTCAAACCGCTTGCGATAGGGGCATCGGGGGCATCGGAGTATTCAATTCAATGAAATATGTGTAAAAAGCAATCTCGAGCGCACCACTTGTGTGATGTCTTTGTAGTGGGTGCCCTTATCTTCGAACTGACTCTCCATGTTGAAAGTGGAAGCTTCCGGTCCTTCACCTGCGGCTTTTCCACCGGATCGTTGCACATGACTTCGCATCCATATCCTGAAACAGGCATGAAGTTGATATCTGGGCTTTATATTTGCTCTCTTCTCGCGCTGCAAAAGTTGCTCCTACAAAAGCATGGATGGAGACACACATCATCTGAATCAATACTCACTGCACAGTTTGCAAAGAGTGGACCGCTGCATACTGCTGCACATGGATTTCACAGGACATTTTCAAGAACTTGCGACAATTTGACTGAAACGAGGTTGCCGTTGATGAAGGAAGTTCTTTGGAGGTTGCGTGATCTACAAGTTGATTGTAGTGTAGATTGCAACCCACACAACCAAGGACACTGCTTGGCAGAAAGGCCCAGCTGCCAGCACTGAAGATTCGTGCAGCCACTTTGCCAGTGCGACCAGTGCCGAAGATGCCCACCTCGAACAGTTGGGACCCGACATCGCGACTAACCCGGCTACTCTACTCCTCCCAAAGACGGTACTGATCCAAGTAAGCCAACTGGCAATAACTGAGCCTCAGCTGTCCACTTTGATTGGCCTCAATATCAAGCTTGATTAGGCTTGATGATGAAGTTCGTGCATACCCCCTCTGTGGCTGGGATGAGAATTTATCATTATCGCTTAAACTGATACACGAATGCCGTAGCACAACCCTAAGCCCTAGGGGCCTGCCAACCTGGCTCTGAAAGTGTAAGTTTTGGATCGTAGAGAGCATCGAGCATGCTTTCCGACAAAGAACTTACTTTTTTTGGTGACAAACCTGCTCAATGGTCTACACTCTACACATTCATTACGTCAACACGGGACAGTTTTGTGGACTGAAAAAAAGGATTGAACGGGTTTGTGAATGTTTGTGATGTCATCTGGAATCGAGTCCGTGGGCCTTCTTGCCGATCATGTCGAAGCCAAGAAGACCGTTGAGCTCGAAATTACAACGCCTCCGATCTGACGAGTTGCAACTCTGAAGTAGATGAAATGGACACTTCAGAATTGGTGACCAGCGTACTTCGACTCCTCTCATTCTTATGTACTTACTCTTCTCTTCCTTCACACCGGAGCGCCTGGTGTTTTCCGTGGCCTGTGGGATGCATCGGATGACTGAAGTGGTCAAGGCCACGGCGTGCTCAGCGATGGACGAGGCGCTGTAGCCCGGCACGTGCGTCACGGTGAGCCCTAGGACGGACACGGCAAACGGTACTGACTGCCGTTACTGTTGGCTTCTTGTTCCGTTCGCGATGGCCTCCAACCTATTAGCTTCTTGTTACTAGTAATGCCCTCGTTACTAGCTTCTAGTTATCGGATGTTATCGGAACATATCCTGAGCAGATTGGCCCATTACAAGCCGGGGCACCGGCGTCATTTGCTGCAGCGATATCCACATGGTTGGTACCGCTGCAGCGGAGACCCAGCATTTTGACTCCTTGCGCCTTCAAGGCCTTCACCACCCTGAAGCCGTGGGAGTGGGCAGTCAAGTGGAGTTGTGGCTTGTTGAGAACTTCTCCTTCAGCTGGTGAGATTTACTCTTTGCAATGTGAAAGCCAGATTCCAGCTGCGCTTCCCCAGTATCATGCTGATGTAAACCTTCACTCTGAGGAAGTCTCAACAATCTGGCCAAGTACGCACTCTGACCGAGCAAACTGATTCCACAATCAGAACGTTAGAACACCATATTATGCATAAGCCACCAAATCCTGAATCCGCAAGCTTCATCCGCTCGATAGAAATCAAGGCGCTCAGCTGATGCGTCGTCATGCACGAAAATGCAGACGCCCTGGGAACGGAGCGTAAGGCACTTCGTCACCTGGTGTCCTTACATGTCCTGAAGGCAGTGGTGCGTGGATGCGTGTGGTGCGTGGTATCCCCAGAGTTGATTTCGATATTGGCGTAAGGCCTTCGATGTGTTCTGTATACCTTTTGTGAAACATCACGAGGTGCAGGAGGTTCACTTGTTTGGCCGGTCAACTGTAGCCACCTAATCCCTGCGTTCACTTTCAGGGGCACCTCGGGATCGAATACCTTTGAGCCCCGAAAACCATGTTCCATTCTCGATCAGTCTTGATCCACCCATTCTCTGTCACGCATGGAGGTGCCTCTAACTTGGCTTGGAAACTAAGTTACTAAGGGCTTCGACCGTGTGTCCTCGATCATCGAGGCTATTTGGTTTGTAAATGCCATACTTATTAACTAATCTTAGATACACATTAGATTCATGTACAACTCGTTGGCAAGGCAAAGCAAGGCTAATCTATGCCAGATGGGTTCAGCATGGGATCCTTTATATATAAAAAAGGCCTTTTGCAATCTGGAAACGTTCATAGCGTGCAAAACTGCTGTCTGGACCCACTAAGACAAAGGAACTATGAGCCTCAACAATGCAAAAGGAAAATCAATACCTGTCCCAGAGAACAAGTTAAAAGAAAGTAAATCATTAAAAACAGTCTGGCCGCTTATGACTTATGGTGTTGCCTAGGCTTGCCTCGGCATCCTTCGCCAGGTGGACACTTTCGATGGTGAGGCGACTCTGGTAGAACTTCATGGTGAAATTCCCGTTGAACTCCTGAGAGCGGCTCCTTTCCAGCTAGCTACCCACGTCGTCTGGCAAGGTCCAACTCTTCACAAGCGACCTTTATGGTGAACCACTTCGAAGCCTCGCTTTTCCGCCCACACATGACGCAAACTCACTCGTGACAACCTTACACATTACGTCACATTACTTACTTGAACTTCTTTCTGCCAACCCTCTCCACAGCGCGCCGCTCTGCGCCTCGTTGCCCTTCTGGAAGGCCTCAATCTCTGTGGGCGTAGCTGAGAAGAACACAATGCGGAAGCTCTGCTCGCTGTTCTCGAAGGCTGGGAAGTATTCCGCCTCATTTCGCATTCAACATACGGGCTTGTGATGGAATGATGTCATCGGTTGATCACATCAATCGTTTGTAGAGCAGTCGTGGATGTATTTGATTTGCGAGTTGTACAGCAGTGAGTGGAGTCTTGTAATCTATGTGGGTGCATTGGGGCCATGGGGAGTCAATACCTTAGACCCACTCTTAGACCCATAACGCACTGACACTCGCTTTGACACAAAGTGCCAGGTGGACACCACTTTTCCAACCAAGCTCAAAGCGAACCACTACGTCACTACCTTGACGTCCCGGCCTTCATGGGATGTACTGGCGCTGGAAGGCTCTGCATGAACGTCATGGCCGCCGCCTGTGTGCTTTTCCGCAGCACTGATGGGGCCTCTTTGGGTGGCAGGCACACCTCACGTAGCACAAGCGGTCAACCGGATCTAAACATGTCACCGGAAGATTCCAATATGATTTTGATTTTCCATTCACATATTCAATCTATTTTGGAACTGCTCTTTGACATGTGTCGCTCTGCAGCCAAAGTTCACAATCCAATTTCCCATTCTGCTTTGGCGGCCCACAGCCATCGCGAACACCTCTGCAGGCAGTTAAATTAGGACCACGAGAACTTAAGCCAGGCCAAAAGTTGCAATTGCCCATACAAACAAGCATAGCAGTACGGTTACAAGTGACAACTTACAACCCAACTTCAAGGAAACAACAGCTTCTCCTTAGAGAGTATTTAGGTACTTTCAGGGAGCAGGAGTATCAACAAGTGACCGGCCGCCTGGCTGCCATGCTATATGGCGCAACTTTCATGGTGCGCGCACCTGCCAAGCTCTTCAAGGAAGTGTCAGAAATCGTCCTCAGCGCCTCCTTAGTGGTCTATGGAGTCGGCCGAGGACAGATGGAGAGTCGGCGGTTTCCGCAAGGTTGTTTAAAGACATCTTGTTGTTGCCAGCGGTCTTGACCAAGACTCAATTGGGCCCATGTTCCAAAAGGGTACGTGCCTTTTGCATCCTTTTGCTTTGGGAAGCAGGTGGCCAAGGCCTCCATTGATTGTCGATCACAACTTCGTTGCACCATTCGTGGCACCCTTCGATTATTCGTCTTGTTCCCAGCTACCATGATAACCCAACTTTTAAGACAAATGCAAATCAATGGAATCAAACATGAATCAAAACAACAATCTTCCAGCATCTCAACTTGCCGAAGTTTGGGCCGGGCCAACTCCGTGTGGGTCCACTACATCGATCAATGACTTGGGACCGACAAGAAACAGTAACACGTAGAAGCACTGATTTGCACTCTTGGAGTTTTTGACGCTTTTTGCTTTGACATGCTTTGACACTTTTACCAAGTTTTAGTCCTTTTCGGTGCACTCACGAAACCACATATTTGTGACCAAACATACAAGCATCATCAAGGAATGAATTCAATATGATCTAAAGTGCTTCATCAAGGGGTTGAATTCCTGACGGAGGCTCAGCAACCGCAGGGTCACATGCTTTTGACTGCCATTTTCTCCAGTGCTCAAGCCTTATAGAGTCCAAATTTACATAAAAACAACTCACAGTATGTTCACTATACCTGCAGGATCCTGCAGGTGTTGGGTGACTTGAGAGTAGCAGAATCTAAATGAGCCTAGTGTCTCGTGTGAAGAAGGCCAAGTGTGGGGTCAGGATAACGTTGGGCATCCGCAACAGCACAGCGATGTTCTCATCCGTGATCCAGCTGGTGGAGAAGTTCCTGGAACAGCTGAGTGGGTTCAAGGCTCGTCTTGTGTATTTGGGTAGGAGGATCATCAACCTGATGGAAATATGGACATCCATGGTATCTGCTCTATCATATACAGTAAGTATTTAATACATGTCTATGATATCTATGTGGGTGTGCCAAGTCTATGCCCACCATTAAGGTTCACCCGAATCGACCCAGTCTATTGCTTTGCTTGATTTTTCCATAATACTCCCAAGATCAAATCGCAGCAAACTGCAAACCACCAAAACAATCACACATGAGCAAACCAATCACACATGACACTGATTACACGCAAAACGAACACCGCAATGAGATCCACCGCCTGAAGAAATACGGCGCTTCGTTCTCGACCACATCCATGGCTGCTCCACCTATGGTGCCATCCTTCAAGCCTGGTGTCGCTGCGCTTGGATTTTGGTCCAGCCATTTAGGAATCGGCTATTGGCACAATGCAATCTTTATTGGCGTGAGGCCAATAACAGCAATATGGACGTGTTCACGAAACATCTTGAAACCGTCGCCTATCACTCCTTCGTGTCAGGTTCGGGCGGCTGTTTGCGTGTCCGAAGTCTGACCAAGCACGGCTTCAGCACGGCTAGGCGCTCGAAAATGGATCCTTCGGACCGGGTTAGGAGCGACCCGTCTTGTGGACCAACATTTCCAGGCGCAGGCAGCCACCACGTGGGATACATGGGGTGACTACCCTTTTGGAGTGAAGACCTTATTTCGCCCTTGCTGAAATGTCTTGCGAGCGTCGATCCAGTCCTCAAACGGTTGAGTTGTGTGCGTGAAGCCGCACGGTTCAGCATCGTAGTCAGTCCACTGCCACCAGATGCCACAAAACACGGCGGACCAAAGCCTATGTTCCATGCGATTCAAGGCGAGCCAACTCCAAGAACAAGCTCGCACTCGACGCAGAATGTGTCGAGTGGAACCGCGCACCGTGGGCGGGTACGCTTTGCGCGAACAAACCACGATCACCACGGTTCTTGACCAGCGACGCGCGGAGCAGTTTTGGAAAGACGTGGGAGGATGGCGGAGCGCTGGAGACTTGGCTCAACTTCTTTGAGCATTCTTTGGAGATCTGGGTGTGATCGCAAGGTGGATGTAATGCACCGCCTCAAGATGCAACACACCTGGTCTGCATAGCCGCGCCCAAAGAGAATCGTTTGCTACCGCAAGAGTGGCGCCCTTTCACTCATGTTTAACAAAGGTGCCCTGCACAAGCGTAGTAAAAGCATATCCGAGTAGAGTGTCCTACAAGAGTGTCACGCACGGTGTTCTTCAAGAGTGGCAAACAACAGTGATCTCTCTCTCTATATATATATATATCATGCAAAACGTCTGAAATATCAACTTCTATCAACTTCTGAGGGTCTTGCAATATATAGAGCTCATGATGCTTCGTGGGATCAGTATTATTTTTTCTGTAGAGTTTGAACCTGTCGAAGCAAACTCGCTCCTTACCATCCCGCTGTAAGTGTCCGACTTCGATAATAGGTTGGAGGCCATCTCGCTGGTAGGTTGGAGGCCATTGCTATTAGTAACTCAAAAAATGATTCTTTTCTTAGCCTCAGAACTTTCACTGCTTCGCTTCCCTCAAGTCCCACCTTGGATCAATGCTTTGGTGTCGATGAGTCCACCACGGGAGGTGTTCACAATCCTCGGACGATGAATTGACTCTTCCGCCTCTCCAAAAGAAGCATTTCCATGGCATAGAGGAAGATCTTATGAGTCTATCGTGCACCAAGTCCGTGGGCGCCAATTCCGTGTTGAGAAAAAGACATATCAGCCCGAACTCCCTTTGGGAGGTCAAATCATGCTGCCCCAAGGGAGTTTTATGAGCCTGAAGTGCCTTCCAAATTGTGTTGGCTGTCAAAATGGATCTAGTTATATGGCATGTTGAAAGCAAATTAAACAAACTAGGCTTGGGAGTATCAAGGGCTGACTCTCATTGCAACAGGGTATAATCTCCTCTCGTGCAGTCCAGTGAGAGGCCCATGTCAGCGCATGTTGTCTCTTAACAGGAGACGACACATCCATCCAAAAGCACCAACGAGACCATGCGTCATGATGCCTTTCTTCATGATCTTCAACTTGTCAAAATTGATCATATGCTTCGTGGATGGCAGCAGTGGTGCATGCAAAGAGATGAAGTCACAAGTGGAGAGCAAATCATCCAGGGACACGTAGGGAATTGCCAAGCCTCAGTATCTCAGGACGATCTGATGGAGCTTAACCCCAGAGCTGTTGCATACTGACGGAGTCCCGACATGTTGCTGACTTTATGCGTCTCCGGCTACCTGTTGAGACAAACAAATTTGGAGGGCCCCTAGCGTCCTCTTGCTCCGTTCGTAGCGATGCCCTTTGTTCCTAGTAGCGTTCTTGTTCCTAGTAGTAAGGCCAGGAGCGCCCCTAGTAGCGTCCGGCTCCGATGTTCCAGGCCTTGTGGCTCGGGGTCCGCAATCTTGGGATTCTCCTGAGTTCGGTGCGTCTCCTTGAGAGCTGTGAAGAGGACTGCTTGATGAGACCGAGAGGATCTCATATTCGTCCAAAAGGAGCTCTGATATGCTTGCCATGAAGAGTTACTTGTTGCCAAGGAGCGAAAACATCATAAGCAACCACATCACATTCAAAGCCCTTCCTTAGATTTAGCGCTTGGATTGGTGCAGGAACTGTTCCTGCATAGATCGTACAAACTGGCGTGAAAGAGAAGAAACACGTCACAAGTTTGTGAAATCATGAAACCAGGCTGCAGGCTGCATGAAAACAGCAGGGAAGGGAAGAAGGGACGGGGAAAACAAGGAAGACGACTGTGCCATGGGCAACATGGGCAGATTGTTTCCCGACGTTCCTGAGCCGTCCGTGCCAAGTTTCTTCATGACTCGTGCAGTGATGGATCCAATCAAACCTGCGGAGCTTCAGTCTCGGCAGAGATTTATGGTGAGATTCTGGCAGCTTAGAGGCTTTAGAGCACAAGTTTTAAACCAAAGTCCTTGAGAGTCTCCAGTGTTGAATGTTCAACTTCCTCGAAAAGAAGTGAGTGTCAAGGTCTTGAACATCGTTGCGGTGACAACAGTGCCCGCCTGTACCGATGATGCCAACTCGTTTACCATGCAACGTTTGTCCTGAGAACTTGTGCAGATCAAAAGCAAGTCAAGCATCGAGTGGAGTTCTGTGCGGAAGTTCCAGGGCAATACCGGAAATCCCAACTAAGGGCTGCAAGCTGATGCTGCATGTGTGTGTATGTGTGATTCCTAACGACGTATGTAGGCAGGGGATGAAATGAATGAGCGTGGTTGCAGTGAAGCTTAGTGTGAGAAAATCGCATCAAGCCTCTGAAAATAGTGTGAGGAAGAGAACATCCAACATGCTATGCCCTGATATCCCCAAATGCTCCAGTTGCTATGATTGTCCAAAGCCGAGCTACCAATCATGGCACCATTCAAGCTGAAGTTCCCAATCCGTGCATTTCTGTAGGACCGTGTAATGTGGCGATTCCTTATTTCAGCAAGCTGGCTTAGCTGCATGTAGCAAAGAATCAGCATAAGTTACACACGAGGACACGCAAAGGAATCTCCCCCTCTGTGAGACCCATTGTGTTAATTGCATCAGGTTCTTTTTCAATCACACGTCCTCGGGCGGACCCCAAAAGTCCTGTCTTTGCACCAAACGGACCATCTCGGCCAAGGGGCAAGGACAACATCAATGCAACAGCATGCTCCCCGACTGCATACGGGCCTCGACAACATCAGGCTTTTCTGTCCCTGGTGCCTGTATATATAATAGCCGCTCAAGGCATTGAAATCTACTGGGAAATCATTCCACGGCAGGCGTGAAACTTGCTCTTTGAAGTGTTTTGAGAGCCGTTTCGAGGTTGCTCTTCACATCTCTTCACCATTGAAGCAACTCTACTGGGACCTACATCTCATTGAGAGTGTCCAAGATCAACATTTTGCCTCAACTGCACCAAGCAGCTGTAGGCCGGCACCCGGGCCACAGTGATGCCAAACCGCTCCGTGGCTTTGAGATCCACGCGGTCAAAGCCAGCGCAGCGCAGGGCGATCATCTGAACGCCCAACTGCCGATCGAAGGCAAACAGGTGAGACATGGGTTGCCTATGCTAGCCTCATGGCTAGCCTCATGGTGACACTGGTGAAATATGAAATGAGTTCAATGAAAAGTGGAAAGTTGGTCACGAAGAACTTTTGGAACTTCTTCAATCAAATACCTTTTCTAACATTCCACACCCTTTTGTTTGCATACACTTGGATTGGAAAGATACAAGGCAGCTTTGCCAAGTCTGAGGGGCACCATCACTTTTGTCTCTTTAACATTGCTTCTTGCCTAGCCCTTGATTTACACCGGTTGACAGACCTCTTGACATCGCTTGACCAGCTTCACGAAGCATCATTCCACAAGCCCAACTTTGCGGGACTTGGATCCTCAACTTCTCTGCTTTGCATCATAGCTAGTGTGACTTCACCAAACCCAGGCGCCCAACCAAGTCTTATGAAGAATTTCACACATCTCCAAAACTGATATGTTCCGGGCAGCTTCTTCATCGGGTGGCCCGCCTCATGAAGAGCTTCCACCACATCCGCACCTCCATTTTGCGTCGTGGGATTGTCTGCGGCACAAAAATCAGTGGGCTGTCCAGGGAGTGTACTGCACTTGCGTAGCAGCATAGCAGTAACACAATGACCATGACCAGGCATGAAGGGATGTCACAGGCAGATTCATTCTGTCACGCTAAATCACCGCCAACACGTGAAAAATCTTCGACAATTGGTCAATTGCTCTATCTTACACCAGCTACAACGTCTATGGCCAGCATCTGACCAATTGTTCACTAGGACTGTCAAGAAGTCGCACAAAATGTTACGCATCCTTGATCCTCGGTTGAAAGCAAACAAAATGAACAAAACATCATCTCTGTTGACCCAGGATGTTGGATTCCTATCTTCAGTCCTTTTACAGTGTTTCTTAGATGTTTAATGATTTTAAAACCTTTCGATGGCAAGTTTCCCCACCCTTAGACTCGAACCATAGCACCTGCGAAGTCGTTCACGAAAGTGCAAACCGCATCACAACCTTGTGCCAGCTTCACAGTGTCCTGAGTGGTCCAGCACCGTCGATTGTCCCGGAACATCCAGGAAGCCCTGATATGAAGGACGCTACTAGTAGCAAAGGGCATCGCTACTAGGATCAAGGATGCTATTAGTAGCTCCTGCCCATACTACTAGTACCAATAAAGCTACTAGTAACAAATGCATCGCTTCTAGTAACAAGTGCCTTACTAGTAGGAACAAGAAGCTACTAGTAATAGTAAAGCTACTAGGGGCTCCCTGCACACCGGGCACACCGGACCGCCAAATCCATCCTTCAATCACTCGAGGTGAGATGAGCTCAGCTGTTCGTGCCGTAAGCCGATGAATATCACTGCTGCGTGTCACGCCGAAAAAAAGAACCTAGCAGAAACATCCTTCGCAATCTGCAACTGTGGCACCATATTCAATTGCTCCGGGTTGTAGGTAAACTCCATGTTGCTGCTTAGCTCCTGTCAGCTTGGTGTCAGACAAAGCGTCGGGTCGGAACGGGCCCGACTTGATGAACATGAATGGCCAGACTCAGACTATGAATGAACAGCTCGTTAAAAATTGGGAGGGTTCCAACTTTCTGGAAAAACTCTGCAGACTTCGGCCCTGCAAAATATCCAAATTCTATTTGGAAATCTTTCTGGTGTTCATCCGTGCTCAACACAAGGGATATTTATTTTACGTGATTTCCAATGATTTCCCTGCGCCCAAGTCATGCGAAGCTTCTTTTCATCAAACCGTTCTCCTCGTTTGCTCGATCGAACCACTCTCGGTCATAGGGAGCACACGAGAAAATGGCCACCTGACGAGTTGGATGTCCGCGTGGGGCTATTTAGGTCGTTGAAGTGGAGGATAGTAACAAGAAGCTACTAGGGGCGCCTGGCATCGCTACTAGGAGCAAGGACGCTACTAGGGGCTCCTGGCCGTACTACTAGGAGCAAGAAGCTACTAGGAGCAAGGGATGTCGTGGAACTTGTGCAGGGCTCTTGTTGTCATAGTTCAATGTGAGAATTAAAGGGATTCTTGCAGCTAAGGCAGGCTGCTCTTCGGCTTTGTCTGGGTTCAATCATGTCAACGTTTTGTCAATAGTCTTTTTCATCCTTGCATTATCTTTAGATCTTTTATCCTTTTTTAAACCTTTTTTCGCATTTCGCCTCGAAGTAAACACGCTTTAGACGAGATTAGATACGTTTTAAGCGCCTTGAAGCTCCGAGATTTGGACCTCGAGCTTGAGCTGCGCATCTCGAAGAGCCAACGCACGAAGGCCTCACCAAAGGGGAGGTCGCTTGAGGTCGCTTTGTCCCAAAAGCAGCTTGCTTTTAAGCAGCTTGCTTTGTCTGAGAGTATAGAACCTTGGATAGAACCTTGGGATTTCACTTCTTACTCGAAAACCAATGGCTTTCATTTGCTCCCTGTCCAAGTGGCCAATGCCCTCCCTTTGCCGGTCCTCGTACTGGATGTGCTCACCCCAAGTGTGGAGCAGCGTTTCCTCACTGCAGAAACTGTTTGATCAGTTGAATGTCTGAATATGTAATCGCACTTCTATGGAAGTAAAAGTAGATTGGTCTAGATTGACCGCGGCCTGATTCAAGCGCATTCCAGGCACAACCTTCCATCATTGAACCTAGCTACAGACCAATTCCTGGTGCCAAACTCATGTACATTAAGGATGGACATCTAATTGTATCATGTCATATCATGAAAGCTAAAGATCTTTTTGTAGTGACTCTAGTGCAGGACGAATCCATCTTGCACTCCTGTGGACTTTGGTGCTTGAACGGGGTTTCACAATCTTCTTGTTCAAGCATGCAGGAATGGCAACCGACTGAGAGGGTGTGTCCGAAACTGGGGACTGTTAAAGTCAACAAAGTCAACTGCTTGGTGGGAGAGCCAGTTTGTCCCCAAATCCCTACGAGTCCAGTCACACACACAGTATCTCTTTCAATCTGCCCTCTCTTTGATCCCACGTCCCAGAGACCACATCATCTTCGCGCCAATCCGGAAGGGCTGACTCCAGAACATTTAATAGGTCGTGCTTCGGCAACGCACCACTGCCTGATGCTGCCAAAAGCAAACAACTTCGGGAAATTTTGGGACTAAAATGCATCTGCTGCAAAGATGCACTATGCGAAGCAGAGTGCACCGCATGCCAAACACTCGTCTGAAACAAATGACCCAGAATGGCTTGGAGGAGATTATTCAAACACTGTCGGGGTGACAATGTCCGTCTAGTCAATTACATTTTGTTGTTTCGGCTGCCACCTGCCGACCAAAATTGAAACGCTTTTGATCTCTCTCAACGAGCACGGGATCCAATCACCGGAATAGTGTGTGTTTGTTTATTACCTCGCCCCTTGCTGTAGGCAAACAAACTGCTATGAACGATTGAACTCATGGACACTGCGATGGCTAGAAACATTCACACATCTCGTGCCTTAAGTGCCGAAACCAAACGCATGACGTCGACGTCTTGAAGACTTTTAGATATGTTCAGTCCGTATCTTTACAACAAATGTAGACTCATGTAGACACTACATCTGCATCTCTATCTCTCCTGCAGCACTTGCCTACCGTAGCTTCAATACATGATATATGTCAATGTTCATCAATCTTCCGTTCTCACCTGCAGCGTCAATCCTCCGGCATTCAGTGAGGATTGAAGATGCCATTGCACAGCACTAAGATTTCAATTTCCAAACTTATTGTTATATATAGAAACACATATCATGAACCTGAGCGTCAGATTTCAAACATGTGAATGAACAATTGTATTGACACTCTTCCCTGCTGCTTTATGTAGCCCACTCCACAAAATGATCCAGTTCTTGCGGATATTGCAGAGGACCTTTCACATTCCTGGATTCACATTGCGCACTGAATGGCCACTTTGGGCGCCGAACTCACAAAATCCGGTATGCCGAAAAACACAGGGCAGCACAGGGTGTCTGAAGGTCGACTCGAAATCCTCTGACTGACTGTGACCCCTTGCTCACAACATGCAAGCAAGGCCCATGTTGACTCAGTGCGATCTCACTTCTGTTTCTGTAAGCCCAACTTTGGACTGCCACCCTCTAGCGCGCAACAGGTATCGTTTTTCTCTTCCCATCCCCTTGTTGCTAGCCGTCCGCTGCAAGCTATAGTACGGTTATTGTACAGGACACCTCAGCTCAGCAAAGGGCTACAAAACACTTCCGGATCTTCCCAAACACTCTGGTCCAAAGGTATCTCAAAAACGATCCAACTTTTGTGAGGGCTCAGGAAAACTCATTTCTTTAGGAAATTTCAGGTCTAATCATATTCCCTCATCCATTGAAGTAAGGAGCATCCTAAACACAGTGTATCGCAGTACCCTGGGGCTAGCACAGGTTCTACCCTGGGGTTATCTTCATCGAATTGGGATTTCAATATAGAATTCAGAGCATATGCCAGATAGAATGCCCGGATATCTTTGATGCCAGATAGAATGCCAGGCTGCCAGAATGTGAATGCCAGGCTGCCAGAATGTGTGCCAGAATGTCAGAATAAAAGGCAAGAGTATATGCCAGATAGAATGCCGTGCCAGATAGAATGCCAACAAGCGTACCAAATAAAGAGTCAGTCAGAGTATATGCCAGATAGAATGTCCGACTTTATGCCAGATAGAGTGCCAGGATATCTTTGATGGCAGAACACATGTCGGAATACCTGGCAGAACACAGGACCGAAGTCCGCCCATATGTCACAGCACATGACAGAAAAAATGTCAGAACACACTCCAACGACGTCAGAACACGGTCCAGAACGTTTCACAGCCAGAGCATGCGTCGGAACATCAATCCTGTCCGCCTTTGTCAGGCTAGTCTGTCACATGTGCCCTGCCGTGGAGATCACTGGAAGTAAAGTTGAGAGCAAACAACTGGCAGAACAACGCCAACCTCACAAACGGTCTGAGAAATGGTTGGATCGTTGAAGTCTTTATTATGTACCGTTCCCCCGTTCCCTTGCCAGTTGCTTCTCACGGTCGGCTGCACATGTTTTACAGGGCAAATTTCTGAGGATGGGACTTGTGCGGATGAGCACCAACCTGGCGCGAAAGAGTGGATCAAGGAACACTGCTCAGCAAGAGCATGGCATTTACAAAGTTTCGTAGGCGGTGAACGTGTCTACGAATACTCTTGCGCCGTCTGCACCACTTGCACTGTGTGTGCCTGCGCCACTGCATGATTTGCGCCTCCTGCGCTGTTTTCATCGTTTGCACTGCCCACACTGCTTGTGCCGTCTGTGCCGCTTGCACTGGTCGCGCCCCGTGTGCATGTGCGTGTGGCTGGCTGCGTAATTCAGGCTTGTTCATGTGTGTGTCGGTGTGAGTTTTGGCCGTTGGCTGACAGTGGCCAGCATTGAAGCTGCTGGGCCCAACTGCTTGAATTTTCCCTTGAAGCCCAATGCGGAAAAGTGAAAAGACAACACTACCCCAAGCTAATGGTAGTAGATGCTGTGGAAAGTGGGCCCGACTTTTGTAAACCATATTTTCAAGCACCAACACGTCTTGACATTTAGCAACCTCGCGGTTTTGGCAGTTTTGAATGAGCTTGAAATGTCCACTCATACAAAAGGTTGGGTGTGCTTTCAGGTGTTTCCCTCAACCTTTAGGCCAGGCAAAACCGAATCTGCTTCCTTGTCAGAAAACACACAAATGAAACTCACTCGCTCCGTTGGTGGTACAAATATTCCGCCATCAAATGTTGGACATTCCGACGTACAGCATTCTCTATCTGAGAACCGAAGTAGTTCACCCGTGCTAGCTCTCCAAGCATTATGTACTGCAAAAGGCCACTCCAGTAATAACTGAAGGAAAGCAACGGAGGACATGGAGGACATCGCTATTGGGTTGGAGGCAATCGCAATTAGAAACAAACAGAAAGAGAAGAAAGGTCTAATAATACAGTTTGCTATTGGGTTGGAGGACTGCTGGTCGGTCGGGTTGCTGAGTGTGGCACTCTCGAAGGCGGAATATGGTCTGATCGAAAAGCATCCTGTGACTACAAAGCACAGTAAGCAAGCACATCAAGTGACAGCAAAAAGTGCCATACTTGGTGACTCATTAACTCAGCAAACTACTTGGAAGAGTACTTCCTGTCAATCAACTACGTTCCATGAAGGAGCTTCAATTGGAAGCCACCTTGCATGCCTGTTGACAACGCGGTGTCGTCGCTTACAATCAATTCACTTTTGATGTTCATCATTGTTCAATAGCATTTGTAAAGGCACCCTTTGAGAGCCGACTGCTGTATCCAAATGTATCGGACCCAACAGGATTTCGTTCATGAACAGTGTCCGCCCTGGAGGTTCAGCCTGCGCTTTTTTTCTGATGATTTTACCTAGGGAAATCCCTGTACCTCGAACAGAAATACAATTTGGTGATGTAGTACCTCGATGTACCTCGTGTCTATTATACCTCTAACTTAGATTCATGAAGTCAACCGGATAAACACAAAGTCGTACGCACCGAACACGCTTTCAAAGGCAGGTCCTCTTCTTCAGGCTCCTGAGACGGGCAATCAGAGCGCACAAGCGCCTTCAAACACTGGTCACCCTACCATTTTTTCCGGATATATAAGCTGACACGAATGCAGAGTACACCATGTGGTGCCAAAAAAGAGCCTATCAAGTAAGATGATTTGGACGCCCATCTGTCACAGAATCTCCACGAAGTCCGTTGCCGCTGGGCACCTCGTTGTGTTTGTGACCATCAGTGTTCGTTGACCTGCAAAGTCACTGAGCGCACGGAGTGCTCAGGAAGGTCGAGCTTGGTTGCATGGGTCGCATATGTTCGTGGCAATTCTCGTTAACTGACCACGCCTAGTCCAATCAATTATCGCCCTCGCTTGAAAGCTTGTGTCATCTTGTCTTGGTGCTGCCCTCTCTTAAAAGCCACGCTTCCTGACTCAGCCCCTACATGAATCATGCAAGGAATGCCCAAAGATCCAGCATTCATCATTCATAGTCAATCTCAAACCCCAAAAATATTATCCCAATACCTCCTATATACTTACTTGATAGTCATTCTTGGGTATTTTCTCGGAAAGCTCCATTAAGGGGATCTGACACTCAGCCTTCTACTCCAAGACATCGCATGGGATCAGCGTTTTTTTTTAAAGAAGCGGAAACCTTGACATCTTTAGATCAGAGTTCCCAGAACATTTTTGAAAGATTTCTCGGCCGCCCGGACACTGGAAGTTGGCCTTCACCTCCGCTGAAAAATACAGCTGGAGAAGGCAGAATATTCACATCAAACTGGCAGCAAACCTGTCAAACACACCAAACTCCTTGAACATCTGGCTCCCAATCTACTTCACAACCAGTCAGAAATTAAGAAGCAGGTTGAATCACAACGGGATGAGGATGAACCTACTGAATCTCTATACCTGCCACCATTTGACCGTCATGTAAAGCCACACGACCGCCACTTTTGCATTTGTTGTCTGTGAGGTGTTTCACCAAGGTCCCCAAAGCTTGACTTCCTATCCATGCATGCTGAATGATCTGCATGCATGCAATCTTGTTGTTGCAAGCATGGAGCAGAACTTCATGGCCATCAAACAGGCTTCCAAAAATAGCTATGTGTCTTTCCAAAAACTGTTGGTGTCACCAAATCAATAATGGGCTTTTTACTTTACTCCAAGGCAATGACTTCTTCTCAAACAACTTCAGCCTAGGTGGTTAGAGGTACCCAATTTGTCATCTCCAGTCTTGAAGACTTTTGGCTGCTGAGGGGCCTTCTCGGTGCCGACCAACTTCCTGCAAGAAGCGGCTGGAAAAGTCTCCCAATCCACCCGAAACAACACCAATTATATATTACATATATACAGTATATACACACACTGTATATACTATGGACGTCTAATGGCGTCTATGCACTACATGTCCTGCTTTCTTCACATAGGGACTCAAAAACTTCCCAGCTGAGTTTGTCAGGTTGAACCTGCGGGTTTTGTTGTGAAGAGATGGGGGGTTGTCAAAATCGATCGTTGGCTTGGGCACACAGTCTCGTGTTCCTGGACTTTACAAACTTTGCAAAAGGGATTTCTTCCAGCTCGGGTAGGTTGAGCCATCACTGAATGCTTCCTTTGTGAATGACTGGCGGGTTGACGGACAAAGCTCCTTTGCATGCGTCGGCCTTAGTGTCCATGTCTCCACTATCGAGTCGTTGGATTTTAAGGCAAACAAACACTGAAAAATAGGAGCAATGTTCGCTACTAGGAGCAAAGTGCATAGCTACTAGCAGCAAGGACGCTACTATGGGCTCCTGGCCCTACTACTAGGAGCAATGTTCGCTACTATGAGCAAAGTGCATCGCTACTAGGAGCGAGGACGCTACTAGGGGCTCCTGGCCCTACTACAAGGAGCAAGAAGCTACTAGGAGCTGGTTTGTAGGATCTTTTAGGACAGTGCTGCACTTTGTAGCACCATACTTACGAGTATATACCATACTCTGATGCTGATTTGTCTGATGAAAAAGTAGGTTCCCATCGTCAACAGCGCTTACGGCAAACACCCATATAGGCGAATTCTCACTAGTAACAAGTGCATCGCTACTAGCAAGGGCATTGCTCTAGTAGCTAGAAGATAGTAACAGCACCGCTACTCGCCTCGAACCCCGACTGAGGGCGAAACTCATCCCGAGAAGGCCCTGGGATGGGTTCGGTGCCTTCCCGGAAGGCCTCGTCAGGGTGACTGAAAAAGAAGCAGAGGTGACTTGTCCCTAGTCAGTCGTGACGTGTGAGATGTGGGCATCTTATTTCCGCAGAGGTCGGATAAACAAATGCGACAGGCCTTGCAAAGGACCGCAAGGACATTACTATAGCCTATAGCTAAAATTAGCTAGAAGCTACTAGGAACAAGGTGCATCGCTACTAGTAACAAGTGCATCGCTGCATTGCTATTAATGATCCCTTTTCATCTTTCCATCCCTTTAATCTCCTTTCCCGTGCGGCTCCCACCTCTGAGCGCTTCTTGTCGGTCTTATCGTCCGTCTTGGCTTCAGCTCCGGCCTTCAGGCATCCCAACGCATTCCCTTTGTTCCTTTCACTTTTAGAATTAAATTCAATTTTAAATTAAAATAAATTAATAGCTTTTTGTTACTACTAGTAAGGCACTTGTTACTACTAGCGTGGCACTTGTTACTAGTAGTAACAAGAAGCTTGGACAAATGTATTTGCAAATAATGTAAAGCATAGCACATTGACGAGACCCCTTCGACCGACTCGCAGCTGGGGCACCTTTGAGCCTTGCTCCTTCTCCTCATCAGGGTATGTCCATCACAAGGTCGCAAAGTTTCCATTCAAGTTGCATCTTGGATTCTTCATGCGACACCTGTGGCTAGAGTGCATAAGGAAATATCTGCATGGCTCCATCTTAGCAGAGCCAACCCCAATCAAGTACTCTCCGTTGCTCTTCGCTTGCACAACCTGGTCGGGTGCCTGCGAGTCAAGGACAAAGATGTCTTTCTTTTCTGGACCTGGAAAAGACATCGGAAAGGAGCTAGACAAACATGAATGCAGCATGAACACTTCAGCTGACAGGTCACAAGTCGGCATAAATGGGATGGGACAATCTCGGCCATCTAGACCTATCTTGGCAAACCGGTCACATAATATGGTCATGTAGTAAAGTATAATAAAGGTGTGCTTCTTACAAATGTACTTGTAGTCTTGTAGTCATGTAACCGTGTAGTGATCAGCCTTTGGCAGGATTTGGATAAGGCAATGTCAATGAAGCTGTGGACTCTCATGCTTGACAACTCTCAGTGTTCAAAGAGCGCCAGCACAGGGTCAACTCTCGTCTTGTTCTGTCCCTTGTCCACTTGAACGGTACTCTAGACTTTAGTGTTTGAAGGCTCGACTCCCACATCCGACACCTTCTTTGTCCTTGCGGTCTGCTCGCTGTTTCTTGAAGTCCTCGTTTTCTTGCCGGGGCCTGGCCAGTCTGACGGGAAGTCTGTGGAGTCGAGCCGAGAACTAATCTGGAACCGCAGTCCCTCCGTCCCTCCATTTCTCCACAGCCTCCAGGACCTGTAGGTTTGTCCATTGGAGTTGGGAAAAAAATGGATAAGAAAGGTCTTATATTTGGAGGCCATTGCTGTCAGATTGGAGGCATCGCTCTTAGGTTCGAGGCCAGTAGGCCTCCGAGGCCATTGCTACTAGGTTAGGTCTCTTCCCTACATTCTTTTTAACATTTTGCACCATACCTCTTGAGAACCACGGCATGACCTGTCCGACAACGCAATCACCAATGATCATGCATCCCCTGTCACGGATTCAGGTTTCAACACCTTACTGTATTTGAGGTCTTAGCTTAGTGACCTAGAACTACCATCCCAACTAAATGGAAGCAACCAAGACCGAAGACCTCCTAAAAGTCGCAGCCACGCCTTGCAAGGCTTTTGGGAGCTTCTGTCTGTGTTGCCTGGCTTTCGGTGCAAACTGCGGCATGCGGAGCTGCAATCGGGTGCCTTCTGACCCACGTGACTTTGATTTCATCAGTGGCTCTTCAACTTACAGCTTTACAAACAGAGTATAAACGGCTGTAAAGAAAAATGAAGACTGTAAGCCGTAAGCGCTTCAGCGCCCCCCCATAACCATCACTTCCGCGGGGAGGCTGCAAGCAAATGCTGCTTGATTTCTGTCTCCCCTCTCTTGGATGCCGCACAGGAAGGCTTGCGGAAGCCTTTGGCTTCTGTTCACTCTCAGCCTCAGCAGACTGCAAAACGTTCTGATCGACAAATTCCAAAATAACAAACAACATAATAAGCCCCACCCTCGGAAACATTCAGAAACAATCGGTGGGAGGTATCAATTCATGGTTTTCAAGTGATGGAGCAGTGTGGCTTTCGTGTCCACCGATACTCTGGGTATGTTCCTCAGCATGTTTACAGCGGAAAAGCAAACAAAGCACGACATGAACATCCATAGCCAAACTAGAAACGGAACTCGCTCGTCAGTGTTTCTGACCGATAGTCCTTGAGTTCCTCTGTTTTGTGTCTCAACCCTCAACCGGAAACGGCAGTGTTTGCGAAGTCTTCAGCATCCAGGAGGGTTTGGAAACAATTTATAGCTTCTGCAAGCGGAACGCCACAGCATGCTTCTGAATAAAAAGTCTTATGGTTCACAACTCTTCTACAATCAATGGTGTATGATCTGCATGATGCAGTCATATCAACTTCCCTCAGCCTATCTCATGTAAACTGGGAATTGTTGGGACTCTTTGGTACTATCCCTAGCTGTTCCTCAGCTCCATCAGACCCACTTTGTACATCCATTGCTGGCTGTGAGAAAGGCTTAAGTTTCCCTAAAAATCTAGGAACCAAATCATTAGTGCAAGCGCTTGCTGTCTCTTTCCAGTAACTAGCAGCTTCAGTAGCTAGTAGCTTATTTCTTTACTTAATTAAGTAGGTGCCTACTTAATTAAGTAGGGAGTGGGGAGCGGGCAAAAATAGAAGAATTTGAAAAAACACACTTTTAGATCTGTCCAAGAGCGCGGCCACTCCAACGCGACGCGTGCTGGCTGTGCTGGTGGTCTCCTCGCTCCGTCGGGAGGACAAGGAAGAAGTATCCTCGCGGTGAGATTGCAGCGATCCAGGTTTAGAAGAATGCATCTGAAATTCACATGTTTTACATTTACGAACTGGAATAACTGAAAAAATTGCAAGCAGAACCCAGGAAATGAGCCCCGAAGGGACCTGTGTTGAGCCAAACGTCCTTGGCAGCGTCAACGGACTGTTTGACGGTGGCCGTCGCTGGTTTGGACGTCGGCCGGGTGGTGAGAAGGGACTTGTCGGCGAGAAAAGCGTTCAACTGGCAGTGAGATTCTGTGCGAGGCCGGTGAGGTGAGGGAAAGCTCTGGGATTGATTCTTTACATCTTAAGACTCGATGGAATTCGACTCTCTGGTGGATAGGGGAGTGGCTTGTTGTCACGTCTATATTGGAAATGTAGTTGTTATAAGTTATAACTGTCAGACTCTTTAAATGAGGTTCAGGTTTGAGGGGCTGACACAGCTCGACAAATTTCCACAAGTTTCTACACCGCCCCTGCACTCGTTGTAGCAATCGTAGAGAGAACCCTGTGCATAGGTGTTGCAAGAGGAACTCTAACACATGCTTGCCAACATCTTTTTACAAGCCTCAAGGCTTGATGGAACCATTTCAAACCTCAGCGTCTTTTACACCGCCTTTGGGGGAACAGTTTCTTACACCGCACCTGCAAAGGAATCTGTGAGAGTTTGCCCCTCTTGTCACAACGCTATACGTCCTAATCAATCCCATTGCATTTACTCTAAACTGTTTGACTGATCATCCACCAAAATGAAAGAGGGGCCACTGCAATGAACATATACATTGGCGCAAAAGTCCCGTTATCCCTCTGCCTTCCCTCCCTCCGCGCCAGATCATCCAGATCTATCTTAATGGCAAACGGCAAGACAAACATGGTCTTGCCTGCGCGAAAAAGATAACTGAAAGCTGGTAGGGACTTCCATGAACCCCAAAGACCGACAGAGTAAATGTTTCGCAAGTAGTTCCTTGGCATGTTACAAGGCATCTTACAAGAAACGTTTGTGGTTTGTTTGGTGCAACTCTCAACTCATACTGTGAACAAGTGCTACCCCTAGATCGAAACATGTGATCCCTCGTTTCTGTTCCGTGGAGTGCGGCTTGTGACTTAGTCCACTCAGAGTCCACTCAGAGTCCACTCATGTCATCTCATGTCATCTCTCAAAATTGGCATCCGAATCTGTGCTGCTCGCCTTGGACCAGCTGAATCTTGCACCCGCCGTCCTCTGCAGCAATCCTCAGGTTTTGCGTTGTGTGACACATGGTGACACAAGTACTTGAGAATCTTAGAGCGAGGCAGTGTCTAGTGTCTAGTCATCATTTTGCCACATTTTGCCATTTGCTGTGTGTGTGTGTTGTTCTCCAGAGGATTCCGCTGCCATAGGCTGCCAGTTCGACTTGGCGACTAACCAACAAGAAATACTGGATGTAGACAGTGCCAACATGCCAGTGGATGTTTAATGTATATTTGAAGAGATGTGTCAACAAATCCGAGGTGCTAGATCTGCGCAACTCCGAATCCGACAACTCATCTGGCCGGTTCCTTCCAAACATGCATGTCTCGAACCAAGAATAATATACGTCTCAAACAAACACCATCGGGTCACCATCGGGCCTGTCAAACCCACCCTGACCTAAGCGAGACTTATCAGTTCACCTATGCAGCCCGTTTCCGGAGTCATCGCTCCAAGGCCACGGCTGTACCTTCATGGCGAATTCTGGTTGTGAGGCCTCCAAAAGGAAGTGACTTTTGGAACCCGCTCGAAAAACATGGAAAAGCATCTTCAAGACCTCTTGGTTTATTTGGAGGTTTGGTCTCCAAATTTCCCAAACTGCATGGTTTGCAAACTATCCGTGGGTCGTGAGGAGTTCCATTTTAGGATCTGACATCTCCCATGACCTGGTCCCCGCCTCGTCTGGGGGATTTCCGAAGGCACTTCCAAGCGGAGAAGCGTGCTCGCTTGGCAGAGGGGTTTGACCGATCGGCTCGCACAGGCCGTGGCTTTGCGTCGCCCACGAACCACGTTTTCTTCGGGGTCTGACATCCGTGCTGAGCCGAAATGGGCAGATCCCGTCGACAACGGCTGTATCAGCCTTAACATTCTACGGCAATGAGATTCACAACTCCTTAAAGAACTTGAAGGCAACAACCCAAAAGCCGGGTGTCATGTAACATCACGAATGGAATAAAGCAATGTTACCATACCGTCATTCCGTAGTACATCCATGTCACGTCGATTCCTTTGCATGAGGCTGATCAGTGTAATTTGTAAACATTCGCGTAGACTGACGCCAATCTTGCTTCTGGTTACTAGTAGCGATGCCAGGAGCTACTAGTAACTAGTAGCGTCCTTGCTCCTAGTAGCGATGTCCTTTGTTACTAGTAGCTTCTTTTGAAAAGCATTCTACGTCTTGAAAGGCCGCAACAACTTTGGCATTGACCTGTGAAACGATATGACACGAGATGAAACAAGCACCCCCACCAACCCAGGGCAACCGCTTAACCATGCTTAACCCATGCCCAAATGGAGTCACCATTGTGGAAACCAGGACATCTCTCAAGAATCCGCAGACCGCAAAAATGGTGCGGAATATATACTACCTCAGAAACCCTGAACTCTTCAGATTCCTCCTAGAATTGCAAAGGATTTGGTTTTTGGTCCTATGGCCTTGAATCTATGTGTATGTTCATTCGAACGAATTAGCATAAAGCCCCACAGCTTGGACCGATTCTGTGATGCTCATCCCTCACCCGTTGGTCGTCTCCCGGGGCTGCATGTGTATGGATCGATGCTCTTGACAAGGCCGCATCCTGGGCGTGACAAAGGCGAAAGAAAGGCGTTGTCTTTTGTAGGCCATTGTGCGTTTCTTTTGTCGGCTTGATTTTTTGGACGCTCATTTTTACTTCACGATTTTTAGGGATAAACTGGACATTTAAAGAAACATAACGGGCCGCTTGTGTCAACTTCTCCAAGGTGCTGGAGTGGCCCACAGAAAATCTGATCGTACTCCTCGAAACCGTTCATCCGGCGGGATGTCCAACTGATACGGCGATGACCACAGGCATTCTTGCTGGTGATGTTGCAAAGCAAAGCTGAAACGTGGAACAGCCTCAGCAGTGTCGACAATGACAATGACGTACCAAATGCAGCAACACGTCACTGCTTTTTGATGGCTGTTTTATGATTGGTGGGATTTTGAACACCATCACTTGAGCTCACTTTGGAGTCATGGAAACAAAGAGGAGAACTCGAAGGAAGCATGAATGACACCTCAAACACTTTGAACCGTCTCCTTGCCCAAAACATCCCAAACGTATTACTTCTGTTGTTGTCTTACGTTCAAACTTGATACAGTCCAGTACAAATCAAGCTTCTCCCTTCTCTTCGGGGCCACTCTCCTTGGGGTGCTACCAAATGTTTTCTCTGTGGGAGATTCATGCGCTGCTCTGCGCTTTGCGCATGTCACTCGTCCACACTTGGGGCAGGTCCGACATCATTTGCTTTATTTCAAACGTAGTATGCAAATCTCCTGCAACCTCACTCGTAATCACCGTTGTGGTGGTGGAGCTAGAGGTTTCTGGATCTGATCTACTTACTTAGGAGGTCAAGAAGCGAGAACCTTTCCTCCGCATGACCAGCAATGTTTCCTTGACCAGCTTAAACATCACGTGCAAGAGTACCAATGTACCACAAGAATATCTTCTACAGTCCTCCAGGCATATTTAATATGAGGTAGACCATGGTAGAACCTTCCAAAGTGTAGAGGATGAAGGGTAAGTGCAGTCAGCTTCCGCACCTGGTGAGACCTGAGGAAACTTGACAAGAAACTTGATAAACCCGAAAAATCAAGCTCTTGCTTCTCCGAGCCACGAGAAGGGCACCAAGAAGGCCAAGCCGAGTAGTGACCAAACCTCAAGCAACCGACAGATTCCACACAATTCCGGAAACAGCAAAGAACATCTGAATCTAGCTTCTAGCTTCTAGTTTCCTGCTTCTAGCTACACCAAAGATAGCCTAAATATTTTCGATCAGGAGAAAGAAAGTCTTTCAGCCTCATGGGAATGAGACAAGTAACATTAAAACGTTCAAAGCACATTCCCTGCTGTCTAAGAGGTAAACATGCGACGTGACGAAGTTCATGCTGAGAAAGGTGAAGCCAAGAAGCAATGAAAAGAACTGCAATGATGTCAAACCACTCAAATTCCAGGAAATTTCGATGAGTCTCCTAAGAGTCTTGGCATGTCTTGGCCTGAGGCTTTTGCTTGCTGAAATAATGCTAGTTTCATGGTCCTCACTCATGGCATGTGTGAAATAGATTGAGTTCGGCTAATTTTCTCAAGTAGTACAGTAGTACAGTAAGGACTTAGCACTCAGTTGTAGGTGTTGTTAGTCACTGGTGCAAACTTTCAGTTTCTGCTTTTGCCCTGAAACCCTTAGCAATGTGTTTCGAGCACAGGTGACAGTTGAAGCTCTGCCCAAAGGGCTTTATGGGTAAAAAACATCAGCCTCAGCCTCAGCAAGCCATACCTCCAGTTCTTACACATCATCAAAAGCGAAGCAAAGTGCATTGGAGCATGTCCCATTTGAGCATGTTGGAACCCATTAGAACCCTGAAAGCTTCGTCCCAACCTCTGGGGATCACTCCATTCTCCCGTCGCTTCTTGGTTGTGTCGCTTCTCGGACGTCCTCCAGGAAGAAGTCCCACAGCGTCTTCACCAAGACGGAGGTCCATGCCAAACACCCACAAACCACCTTGGAACCAAGTGCAGATCCTATGGTCATCATATGTCATCATGATCCCACCTTGTGGCTTGCGCCTATGGTGACATATGGTCAAACATGGTGAGAAATATGGACCAGGTGGTTGCCGATGAGTGAAACTGTGGCTGTCGTCGCTGGGTGCTGACATGCTTTTCTCCAGGAGTTCTCAAAAAAGCAATGAACAGCACAAACTCCCAGTGCACTCCCCAAAGAGAAATCACAAGACCCGAACAAGACAGAACGATTCATTTTTTCATTGAACGATTCTACTGGATTCAACGGAGTCGACGGTCGAAAGTCGATTCGATCGACTCGACTCGATTGCCAGGGCTCCATGAGTGTGAAGAAGCGATGGTTCCGCATGGCGACACAGTTTCCTTTGAGATCGTTGTGCCGCTTTCCGCTCAACATGGATTTAGAGGCAATCTTTGGTTCCATGCGCAAGCTCCAACTAGAAACAACAGACTGGACAATGGATAGTCTTTCATACGGTTGGCTTGATCTTCTTAGAAATAGAGTAATGCTGATGAAATATCTGAAGAGTGAGCCCCGATTCTTAAATCCCATTTCTGGTATCAGATTGAATCATCAGCATCGGAGTCTGTAGGTGTACGCTATAAATCATCCCCACAAGCCATCTCAGATCCCCCGGAGAAAACATCAACCACTATTCACCCGCCTAACTTCTTCAAATGAACTCCCAGCATCCATCCAAACAGAGTGGGTGCCAAACACAATCAATGCTGCTCCAAACAGTGACGATGAACAGCCTAATTGAATAGTTGATTCTCGATCCTGCGTGTTTGGGTGTGACATAAACAAAGGGTGACCGATCCCGTGGCAAGTTCACACATTGCTTGCCAAATAAATTTTCAGAGTAGTTTTAGCTAGTCCTAGGCAAATGGCAAATGTCTCACAAGTTCAATGCAAAGCAATGCCGAGTTGCCAATCAGCCAGCAGTGATGGTCCATGCGCCAAAAGCATTTCCTGTCGCGTGAGGAAACACGTCTCCTATCGTCTCCTATCGTGGACTGCTTGATGCAAGTACCTCAAGCTGAAGATGCTGACGCCGGGAGCGGCTCCCCACACGTCTCCGTACATCGGCGTCCCCCGAAAGGTCGGTCGCTCCTGCACTCAGAGCAATGCGATACCCCTGGAGGGCGCCACAAGTTGCAGCTTCGGCACCACCCTGCGAAGGTCAAACCCGAGTTTGGCGCCAATCTGATCATCTGTCGGGTGTCCAGCTGTTGGAAGAAATCGACAAGAAGAGTAGAATGTCTTGACATCAGCCCTACAATTCACAGTATTTCGGCTGTCTGCCAAGCTTTTGCTACTTGATATTATGTATACATATAGTTCAAACCCTGAGTACGAACGATGCTCCATCGCAGCATTTTGCTCAAACAAAGGACAATCATCCCCTATCATACTAAAGTTGCTGCAAATTGCTGATATCCTTTCTACTGTTGTCAAACCGTCCCTCAATAAGGTATGGGTTCAATGTGGCAAAGTGCTGTGCTCCGTCCGACTTTGCCCTCTCGGAACCTAGTGGCTCACAAACTGAGAAGGAAGAACTGTTCAAGTTCAAGACTCTCCTACCATCTCCTACCTCAAAAAGAAGTTGGCTCGATACGCCACTCCTTCCGCCCATCCCCAATATCACCATTCCGAGCTGCGATATGGCTCTTTCTCCTCCTCGTCAGAGGTTTCCCTGAGCGGCCAGCCAATCACCGCCCCCGGGCCCAAGCAGCTTGAGGGAGCGGTTCAAAACTTGCGGACGAGGCACACAACGAAGATCTCATCCTGCAAAGGAGAAGGCTTGAAGATGCTTGAAGAAGGGAGAAGGTCTTACTTGGAAGACACAGATTTCGCAAAACGTTCGCTAAAGAATAGCAGTTTTGGAATTGCTGGGTGCAAATTAGAGGGCTTGCCATTCGCCCGACCCAACCTAATTTTTGGTGACCTGTGACACAGCTACATTGATAAGATGAATCACCAACAATGCTAGAATGACGTGGGTGACTTTTTTGTGACCCTTTTCTGCTGACTACAGGCAGCAACTTAATTCCTCAAGCGGGTTGGTGAAAGATGGATGCCACATCCAGGTGTTGTGTCTTCTGATGCCTAAACCTTTTGTACTTGGTCCTTTGGGCCTTTCTTTGTTCCTTTCTTCCTTTATATATATATAGATTCCTTGGAGTTTTTACTTTTTGCTTCATAGCTGAGGCTCAACAAGCTGTTAAACGTTCCCCATCCCTTGCCCAGTCTTTGTTTGTTTAGGGCCTCCGTGGGATCTCGCGGCAACGTCACCTTGCAGGTGTGCCCGTTCACATCTGTGCTTCAGTGGACTGCCGGCTGCCGGCGGAAGGAACTACTGAAAACTACTCGCTCAATTACTTTTGATAGGGAGCAACCACAGGAAAGTAATGAAGGCCTGACACCTTTGAGAAGCCAAAGGCAGGAAAGAATCCGGCAATTACTTCTTTTATTGATGCCACATGAAAGCGCGCCTGGACCATGCATTCCATCATGCTTTTGCAATCTTTTGCAACAAATCCAAAAACGCCATCCGCACAAATAAAGGATGTTGCCAATATATATATATATATGTTGGAAAGGAACTTGCTTAGAATAACCACATCCAGCGGTGAATCTATTGAATTTAGGCAACAAACATAAGCAAGGAGCAAATGTCCGGACTAGGTTCGATCCCAAACGAAAGGTGACGAACTAATTACTCCTTCTTTGGTGAAACTGGTTGGGCAATGGGCAGCGGCCTTAACTTTTGGACTTGTGCGCCACTCCTGGAAGCTCGGTTGTTTCGGCACGGCATCAAGGGTTTCGACCACTTTGTTTTTTGTTCAGTAACAAGAAGAACAAATTGTGAGGCCTAGATTCCTAGAATATTTGGATAAAGCCTTCCAACACAAGTTCTTTTTTTAATTGGGAATGCGCATGGTTTGTGCTAGAACATGACATGCTAGAATCCTATTGGGAGGGTACCTTACCACAAATAGTTGTTGCGCAACTCACGCACCTTGGCTGCCCTTGTACTAGCAGTTGTCTGTAATGGTGACATAAAGGCCGCATGCGTGATTGATTGCATTATCTCATCCAAGGTGGTTTTCTTTATTTTCGCTGAAAGCTGCTTGGAAAATCAAACGGATACAGTGCCGGTAGGACTGGCATTCGGAGGTTGTCCAACAAAATCGATTGATGGCCTTGCTCCCCTTGTGAATTGCTGCGAGCTTTTTATATGATCCTTTCCAGGCATCAAAGCTACTATTGAAGATGCCTCTTCTCTGAGCCCGGCTACTTTCCAACAATCTCTTCGCAGAATGACACAGCGATCGCAGCAAGCACATGCAAAAAGCATCTCGATTCGCCCCTGGAATTGTGCACCTTCCCACTCTTTCCGACACCCATAGCATCCGCCATCAGGGTGACACACAAGCTTGCTGAAGGCCACTCGCTTTACGTTTTCTTCGTGCATTTAGTCATCATACAAGCTAGAGTCAGGTGCGCTGGCTCCTACGAGTTGGTCATGCTATCAAACTTGAGGCCAGAGGGGGTGAACGAAAGCTAGCCGGGCCTCCTCGTCCAAACAAGTCGGGGGCGGGCTGCACAGTCACTCTCATTGGGTAACTGCCGGTCCACTTGCAAGTCCCGTGGGAAACTCTAGAGAAGCAGTGTTAGTATGTGCTTTGTGGTGCGTCGAGTCTCATTCAGTAAGCAACTGCCACCTGACAGGAGCAGGTTTTGTTTGGTGCCCCCTTTCCATCACTTCTTTGGCTTGGTTTTTCCAGCGGTTGCTGTGCCGCAGCAGCAGCAGACCACCCAGCGGCAGCAGCAGCAGCAGCAGCATACCAACCAGCGCCGCAGCAGCAGCAGAGCACCACCCAGCAGCAGCAGCAGCAGCAGCAGCAGAGCAGCAGCAGCAGCAGCAGCAGCAGCAGATCACCCAGCGCCAGCACCAGCAGCGGCAGCCCACCCAGCGCAGCAGCAGCAGCACCAGCAGACCTCCCAGTAGCAGCAGCAGCAGACTGCCCAGCAGCAGCAGCAGACCCCCCAGCAGCAGCAGCACAAGACTCAAATGACACCGCCTGACTCCACGCCGTAACTAGTAGGGCTATGATGCAAGAAATGCCGCCTGCACATTGCACCCAAAAAGGTATTACTGTCCAATGTAGCTCCTGCTGCTGCTGGGTGGTCTGCCTTGGCTGCGTCTCCTGCTGCTGCTGCGGCCGCTGCTGCTGTTGTGTTCGCTGCTGCTGCTGCTGCTGGTGGTGCTGCTGCTGCTGCTGCTGCCGCTGCTGCGCTGGGTGCTCTGCTAGCGCCGGGTCGTCTGCTGCTGCTGCTGCTGCTGGCGCTGGGTGGTCTGCTGCTGCTGCTGCTGGTGCTCTGGGTCTGCTGCTTCTGCTGCTGCTGCTCCTTTGTGGTTTGCTGCAGCTGCTTGGTGGTAGACTGCAGATGCTTGGTGTGCTGCAGCTGCTTGGTGGTCCCGCTCACCGCGCGCACGGGGGAGTCGAACCGCGGGGGGGGGGGTCCATAAGATTGATTTAATCAATTATTTGAGGTTTCTGGGGCGCGTCCACCCCGTCACTTAACTTGCTAAAGCAAGAGCAACTCCAGCTAGCTAAGGCTAGCTTTCGTGACAATTCATTTCCTGAGCCTCACAAGACCGCACCCATGTCTCCTTCAAATATTGCACCTCATCTGGATCCACTGCACCAGGATCCAAGCCATTGGACAAGGCCTAGGCAAACACGTGAAGAAGCAGCCCTCAAGTGCAGAATACCGCTTAACAACCCGCTTCTGGCCCTCGTGAGGCAGATTCTTCAAAGCCAGTTCACTCAGTACTACCGACTACGATACACCTAAGCCTACCCAGTTATTGCCCTTACCTAAGCCTACCGGGCAGCCTACCTACTGGTACCTCCTTCGATGCTCCTTCGGTCTTGGAGGTCAAAGGGCCGGGCCAAACCACAAAGGAACAGGGAAACCTGGCAAAATCGGTGCGGAAAATCCGACGCAGGATGTATCCAATCGGTGCATGAAACAGGCTGGGAGATTTGCAGACTTGATTGTGTACATAGGACCCAGCAAAGGAGAAAGACAGCGAATAACGGCACCATGCAGGGGGGCTTGCAGGCTTGCAGGAATACTTAACTGGATTGGGTAGAAGCATGTAAGAAGGCGTAGCCGGTGGACAAAGTCATCGTCCTAAAAAGCTCGCTACAAGTGAAGTAACGTGGGTCCTCTTTTTCACTGTCCCCATCTCAAAGAACTCATTCTCAAACTACTCGACAAGCAAACAAACCTTATACTAGGAGCAAGAAGCTACTAGGAGCAAAGTGCATCGCTACTACTGTAGGAGCAAGGACGCTACTAGGGGCTCCTGGCCCTACTACTAGGAGCAAGAAGCTACTAAGTGAGGACCCACCACTGCAGACTGTATCCAACCCATCCCCACCAGCACGAGGAGAGCAACATTGAAGGTGGAGTTGGAGTCGAACCTCAGCCGGATTTTTCATTATCCTCACCAAACTATGGATTGCCATTCGCAATCACGTCACACTCTATGGTACCATCACCTGACAGGTTCTAGGCCATGCCGAGGACAACATGTTCTCTCTTGAAACACACCCGTCACAGTTTGTCCACCCTAGCCTACGACCATCCCAAGAGAATCTATGCTCACGGGTTGATCACCTGGTTGGACGAGAGCAAGATCTGGCTCGAAAAGGTTTCTTTGGACCCAAACATCGACCAAACACCTGTACGCAGCTTGTATGCATGGACACTCTGGTTTGAGTACAAATGGTGGGACGATGTGTGGTGTGTAAACATGAATAGTGGGATCACTCGGCACCAACATCCCTACTCATCCCCTGTTTTTCTCAAGGACTGCAGGTCAAAGTGGTTTGTGCCAAAGTGCCCTTGCTCCCGCTGCAGGATATAAAATGCTGCA